GGCAGAGCGGAGGGGATGTGGAGGCCCAGGGCGGTGACTTCTATGGCTATCTAATCTGGCCCCCCACCTCCATGCTCTGTCGGAGGCTTGCCCCATTAACCAAAGCTCCTTACAGAGGGGGGGACTTGGATGAGAGCGGTTGGGTAAGAGGATTGGTCGTCTCTATGGCTGGGGAGACAAGATCAGGAGTGCTAAACCCCTGGCCGTATGGTGCCCCGACTGAGCTCCCTCCTGGCCTGGCAGGGGGAGGGAAAAGAGAGGGAGAGTACATTAACAGAACAGACAAAGGATGGGTATTCATCAGTCCTGGAAGCTTGGTTCTTGATCTTCTCATTTTTTTTCCTTTTTCTGAAGTTGCCCCCCTCCAATCCCAGCCCCCCTTCTGTCATGTCATAAGATTGAACACTTTCCTTTCTGTTGAGAAGTGAAAATGCCTCTGTTTCAAGTCACTTTCTCTGAAACACATTCTGAGATCCTTTCAATTATTGGCTGATTAAAATGACCTTTTAAAAACGGTTTTAGTGGCTGGCTTTTAAATGGTTTTCACACTGGCTAGAGTACAATTCTATTTATGGATTTGGTTGGTTTTTAATGGAATGATTGATAATTGGCAAATAGAGGAAGAAAAGGTGGAGGCAGTGATAGACTTTGTATTTCTAGGTGTGAAGCTTACTGCAGACGCAGACTGCAGCCAAGAAATCAGAAAATGTTTAATTCTTGGGAAGAGAGCAATGGCCAATCTCGAGAAACATCACACTAGCAATGAAGTTAAAGCAATGGTATTCCCCGTAGTGACCTATGGATGTGAGAGCTGGACCATAAGGAAGGCTGAGCAAAGGAAGATAGACGCTTTTGAACTGTGGTGTTGGAGAGTACCTTGGACCGCGAGAAGATCAAACCAGTCTATGCTCCAGGAAATAAAGCCCGACTGTTCACCGAAGAGAAGGATATTAGAGGCAAAGATATTAGAGGCAAAGATATTAGAGGATATTAGAGGCAAAGTACTTTGGCCACATAATGAGACGACAGGATACCTTTGAGAAGAGAACGATGCTGAGGAAAATGGAAGGAAAAAGGAAGAGGAGCTGACTAAGGGCAAGATGGATGGACGTTATCCTTGAAGTGACTGGGTTGAAGGGCTGGTTCATGAGATTATGTAGAATTGGAAGCAACTGAACAAATAAACAACAACAACATGTTTATGTTTTTGTCACAATTCTGTTCTGCAATTTCTGTGTTTATGATTCTTTCTCGAGGGCACTGTCAGGGGAGAGCACTTGCCCAAAAATATGATTTATAACTAGGCTGACCAGAGGAAAAGCTAGGAATGACTCTCATTAGGTGTTGCTGACAAGCAACACGGTATAATTATCTCTCTTACTTAACAATTAAATGTACAGGGTACTTGTTCAGTTTTCAACCTGGCCACCAGCATGACATATAACAGGGATTCTCAAACTGTGTTCCCCAGATATTTTGGACTTCAGCTCCTACAGTTCCTAACAGTTGATAAGCTGGCTGGGATTTCTGGGAGCTGAAGTCCAAACTGTGATCCTGGAGGAGAACATTTCGAGAAACACTGGCATATAGTATTGGACTACATCTCAGGAGACTAGGGTGCAACTCCCTACTTAGCCATGGAAACACACCAGATGACCCCAGACAAGTCACACACTCTGATAGGGTCACTTTGTTGTTGTTCTTGTTCTTGTTCATTCGTTCAGTCATTTCCCAGAAAACCCAGCAACCGTAGGATCACATAATAGGGAGGGATCCGTTTGGCCCAGGACCTGACTGTTGTAGAAAATCTATTGTAGTTGGTTTCCTTGGCTTGGGGTACTTTGGAAATTGTTGTCTCACAGATCGCATTGTCTCTGACCCCGCTGTCTAGCTGTCCTGGGGGTATGTTGTCCCATAACACCTGGAGACACCAGGTGTGTTACTACATCCCTAGATTGTGGCCATTTAGTATGGAGCCATGGTGGCACAGCGGGTTAAACCGCTAAGCTACAGAACTTGCTGAACAGAAGGTCAGTGGTTTGAATCTACGGGACAGGGTGACCTCCCGTTGCTAGCCCCAGCTTCTGCCAACTGAGCACTTCGAAAATGTGCAAATGTGAGTAGATTAATAGGTACAGCTTCCACGGGAAGGTAACAGCGCTCCATGCAATCATGCTGGCCGCATGACCCAGGGTGCATCTATGGACAATGCCAGTTCTTCAGCTTAGTAATGGAGATGAGCATCACCCCCAGAGTCAGTCTCAACTAGACTTAATGTCAAGAGGGAAACCTTTACTAGTATGTATGTTATATTTGAATGGCCTAAATTCTCTAAAAGCACTAGGGCTGGGTGGTTTCGTTTCGTAATTTCGTAATTCGTTAAAAATTCGTTATTTTTTTTATAACGAAGCGATTTTGAACCATTCAGGAGCATCTAAAAAACGAAACGAATTTTTCAATTCGTTTTGTAATTGCTTCGTATTTGTTTCGTATTCGTTTCAAAATCGTTTCGAAATCGTTTCATTATTATTTCCGCATGTCTGGGGCAAGTTTTATAGCTGTTGTTTGTTTAATCAGTGAAAAAAAATTATAATATATCACACCAACAGTCAACAACAGAGGGAGAGGGAAGCTTCAGAAGTTCCCCCTGTCCCATTTGGAGGTTTTTTAGCGTATTGCGCGGTCGCGTCCGCCATTAACGAATCGATTCGTATTCGTTTCGTATTTGTAATTGTTTCGTAATTTTACGAAATTTCGTAAATATCGAACTTTTTTAAAGAAAAATTTCGGAATTCTTTTAAATATCGAAACGCAAAAAACCCCAAAAAAGAATCGAGTTTAGAAACAAATTTTTCCGTAGTTGCCCAGCCCTAAAAAGCACCAGATCCTTCTGATCTTGGAAGCAAAGTCAGGTCAACCCTGGTTAGTACCGACAAAGGCCAGGGGCTGGAGTCTATATTCAGAGGATGAAAATGGCACACCACTTCTGAGTCTTCCTTGCCTAAGAAAGTCATGGGACCATTATAAGTCTACTTGAAAGCACATACACTCACACTCAAATATAATATTTCCCAACTTTTCCTCCGCCTTGGAACTCAAGGCATCTAACAAAAAAAAACCTGAAGAAAAACCCTCACATTTAAAGTATATACAAAGTTAAAATAATTAAACTATTTGTAGCATTACTATGTAGTGAGTCAAAAGTATAGGGGTTGGAGTGTTGGACTAGAACTCCAGGTAACCAGAGCTGAAATCCCAGTTCTGGCATTGAAACCCATTGGGTGGTCTTGGGCAAGTCACACACACTCAGACTCAGTGGAAGGCAATTGAAAAGTTGCCAAGAAAATCCAGTGATATATCTGTCTTTTTTTGTTGTTGTGTGCCTTCAGGCCATTTCCAGCTTATGGCCTCAGTGCCCTAGGGGAGATAGGGTGGAATAGAAATAAAGTTTATTATTATTATTTATTATGGCGACTCAAAGGCAACCCTAACACTGAGTTTTCTGGGGCTGGATTTCCATGTTCAGTTGGGGAATTGAACCCTGGTTCCTAAAGTTATAGTCCAATGCGAAAACACTGTGCTGAGGTCTGCCTTAAGGATGACATTGACATAAGTTGGTAACTACTTGAAGCCACACAACAACTATAACACTATGTAACAAGATGCCATTTCCTAATTGGATCTATCATAAAAACATGGAAAAGGTTTATTAAACTGCAAAAACTTTGTTTTGTGGAACATCCTGCAGCACATTTTGCTATAGTTTTTCAATGAATAGCTCATAGAGCAGTGTTTCTCAACCTGGGGTTGCGAGGGGGTGCCAGAGGGGTCGCCAAAGACCATCAGAAAACAGTATTTTCTGTTGGTCATGGGGGTTCTTTGTGGGAAGTTTGGCCCAATTCTATCATTGGTGAAGTTCAGAATGTTCTTTGAGTGTGGGTGAGCTATAAATCCCATCAATTACAACTCCCAAATGTCAAAGTCTATCTTCCCCAAACTCCACAAGTATTCCCATTTGAGCATATTGAGTATTCTGTACCAAGTTTGGTCCAAATCCATCATAGTTTGAGTCCACAGTGCTCTCTGGATATAGGTGAACTACAGCTCCAAAACTCAAGGTCAATGCCTGCCAAGCCTTTCCAGTATTTTCTGTTGATCCTGGGAGTTCTATGTGCCAAGTTTGGTTCGATTCCATCATTGGTGGAGTTCAGAATACTCTTTGATTGTAGGTGAATTAAAAATCCCAGCAACTACAACTCTCAAATGACTAAATCAATCCCCATCCCAATCCCACCAGTATTCAAATGTGTCTGTATTGGGTATTTGTGCCAAATTTGGTCTAGTAAATGAAAATTACGATTCATAACAGTAGCAAAATTACAGTTATGAGGTAACAATGACAATAATTTTATGGTTGGAGGGTCACCAAAACACGAGGAACTGTATTAAGGGGTTGAGCATTAGAAAGGTTGAGAAACACTGTCATAGCGTCTCAACCAATTCAGCCTAATTTGTTTCAGCCACAAAAATGAAGTTTCAGGAGTAGAACTACTTTCAAAGTATGTACCACACAGTTTAGCAGGAAATAATACTTTCAAATCTGGACCAGAAGTTATTTTTTACATAGTGCAATAAAAATATTTTAACAGTCCATAATCAAATACTTAAAACGGTACAGCAGACTATGAAAAGTTTTTCCTGCTTAAATAGTATTTCCTACTGTAACAAGACAGCCTCCACTGGCTACTCGAAGGATACCATGGAGGAAGTCATTCCAGCTTCTCTAGAAGGAAAGCCCATAGGATGGGAGCCACCACCATGAAGGACCTGTGAGGTATACACCAGATCCCTCTTCTTTTGGAAATGATAAAAATATTTCAGTTCCCAACCTTATGTATTCCAACTCATTCAACCCTCTTTACCAGAAAACCAAGGAACTTGGTTTGGATTCATCCCCAAAATCCCTATCACCCAACTGGGCATTTTCATGTCTCACTTACGTATCCGACACAGGTTCTTCATGGACTGTGAGGTACTGCGTCCCCTTTCGGTCTGCCCACCTCTGGTCCCTTCTCCGGTGGCCTTCTCCGCTTCTTCCTCCTCTTCTTCAGCCCGAAGGAGGGCAATTCTCAACCCCGCCACCAGGCGGGGGAAGCTTAAATACCCCCCGCAGGGCTCTGCCACCTGCTGGAGGGCTTGTAACACCCCGGATGGGAGCTGGCATCTCTCTTTGTCTCCTTGCGGGGTCACACCGGAGTCCCTTCGTCCCCACCGGCTCTCGATTTCGGAGATGTGGACAGTCCCACTTCGTTGGTCATCCAAGATTTCAAAGAGGGTCCGGAGGCTGCGGAGAAAAGGACGAGGCAGGCGGGTGCCCCGGACGGGAGGGGGGTCTTCTGGGGTGGAGGGAAGGGATGAGGCAGCCAGGCCTCCAGAAGTCATTGGAAAATGGGACTTCAAGGGGTATCTTGGCAATGAAAGATGGATTCTGTGAGATGCTTGGGGATTTGAGGATCCCCCAAGTTTTTCCAGTGGAGTTAGGAGAGAGTGGCGGAGAAAGCTAGACTGGCTGCCTAAGCACTAAGTGAAATGAGACAGCAGTGCAGTGAAAGTCAAGACCTGTAAACCGCAATGAGTCGCCATACAGGCTGAGAATTGGCGGTATATAAGCGCACCAAATAAATAAATAAATAAATTGGTCAGGCGGAGGGTTGGATGGGGAAGCCTTAGAGGCGAACTGGGACACCAAGGTTGCTCTGGGAGGGGACTGGGCTACTGGGTCAAAGTCAAAGACCTGGACATCAGGCAAAAGTAGGATGGGCAAGTCTCTGTCTGGCGGCTGTGTGGCCAGGGCTGCTCTGGTGCTCTTTGCTGAGGTCTCTCTCGTTTGTCCGAGTTGGATTGTCTGATCGAGTGAGATTGGCCAAGCTGGTCCAGGCAGGGGGAGGCAGCTGGGCCTGGAATCATGTGACCCATCTCAGATAATCACCCTGGACGCCAGATGATTAGCGGCTCTGTCTAACGAGGTGGCTTCCCCTCTGAGGAAGGGAGGGGGAAAGAGAGAGAGAGAGAGAGATTGAAAGGGAGATTGAGAGAGAAAGAGAGAGGGAGGGAGAAATTTCTCCCTGGTGAGCAACTAAACTCAGAATCCCTCCAGGGTCAGAGAGGTCAAACAACTTCCCTTCCTTTTTTGCTTCCTTCCCTCCTTCATCCTCTTTCTTTCTTTCTTTCTTTCTTTCTTTCTTTCTTTTTTTTCATTCTTTCCACCTGATTTTTTTTCAATGTACCTTTTGCTTATAGTCCCACAAATCTTGTCATATACAAGCAGCCCTCATCTATATTCATGGATTCAGCCATCCAAGATTGGAAAATACTCAAAAGAAAACCAGAAAGGAAACCTTGATTTTGCCATTTCACTATGCCATTTGAGATTTTATTTTGGTATCCATAGGAAGTCCTAGAACCAAACCTCAGCAGATACCATGGACACACTGTAACTATGGGTTATGTCAAAGGGACTGTTCATAGGACATGTGCTCTTTTCATCACTCAAGATCTAGTTTACACATTGAGTAGTTTGTATGTTAAGCTTAAATCCAGTTACTAACTCTTTCTTGTGTAGACCCATTAAGTAAGACGATGAGTAATAAGAATTAGAAAGAGGGAAGAAAATATCTGTCACATTAGCTAGCTGTTCATTGTTGTTATTGTGTGCCGCGAGGTTTTATTGGCAAGATTTGTTCGTGTGGGACATTTCTGACCAAGCAAACATCAGTATGATCAATTCAGTAAATGATAATAGGGAGGCAGGAAGAATGCACAATCCAGGAGAAATTGCAGCTATCTCGCAAGTTTTGAAACAAAAGAACAGTTAAAACAATTATAGAAATATTAAAATATAACCTACAGATTCACCCATCCACATCTTGGAAATATCCTTCAATCCCCCCAAATCCAGACAATCTTTTCCTGTAATCCCTTCCTCTCTCCGTGCTGCATTTACTGAGGCACCATCTAATCTGACATATAATGCATCTTGAAATTACACTATATGATCAGTGTACATGGGGACGGAGTACAAACCACATTTGCACTTGAAATTCAGTTTGCAACAATTAAGTAAAACAAGGACAAGGGGAGGAGAGGTTGGCAGAAAGAGAAACTGGGATATCTTAAAACTGATTGAGGGCGCTTCCAGACAGCACCAAATCGTGGGCTTTAATGAGCAGCAAAAAATCTCAGGACTTCCGAAGAGTTCCACATACAGACCTGTTTGTCCCAGGATTTCTGCCTCCGTTGTCCACACTTGCTGCTTTGTTGTGGCATTTAGAGGCTCCCAAGATGGCCACTGCAGGACTTCTGCTGGAAATTTTGGTGTTTTTTTTTTTAAAAAAATAAAACTTAAGATATCAACATGCAGAGATGCAAATCATTGTATAAGTACCATTTCTTGGTCCTGGCCAGAGAAAATGTGCCCTCCACACATTTCATGAAGTTTCTGGCACACAAACAAAGTTGCTGCATTCTACTCACCTTCAACTGGGATATTCCTGCACCTGAAAATCTCGCGTTTTTGTTGTTTATAGCGATTGCTGCAGAAGCTCCTGGGATAAAGGTACTGTCTGAAAAAAAAATGGGACGACAGAGGATTACTATGGACTATATCTGACAAATGGGGAAAATTGAATATAGATGTTTAAATCTGCTTTTTTGTAGGAAATTTGTCAGTAAAATAACAATATGAAAGAGTGCGGGTTGGGAGAAGGAAAAGGTAACAACGAGATGGTAGCTTGCCTGTCATTTACTCTTCCACTCAACCATTCCATTTATCACCCACTTTTCTCCCAATATGATTTGATATAAGGGACTTCATTTCATTTCACCACTGTATATAGTAGGACTTGAGCATCCACAGATTTTGGTATCTACAGGAGATCCTTGTCAACCCCCACAAAGCTTTCCTGCTATTATCATCTTGATACTGCGTGCTCATGTTCCACCTTGTGGCCAGTGGTTGAAATGCTTCCAAAAGAGATTGCTGGACAGGAGTGTGTTTTGGAGAGATTGAAAACTGCTCAGGTACTGTATGTCCCGATTTATTTTTTCATTTGTGAAAGAGGAACCAAGCATCATTTATGGTATAGAACCTTTGAGCCTGCAAATGTTGTTGGCCAGCTTCCACAAACCCTGAACTTTTGGAGACACATAGAAAATGGAGATCAAGTTTAGAGAGCCATCACTTTTCCACTACTGTGTTGTTGAAGGTTTTCATGGCTGGAATCACTAGGGTTGCTGTGAGTTTTCCGGGCTGTAAGGATATGTTCCAGAAGCATTCTCTCCTGACAGTTTGCCCACATCTATTGCAGATATCCTCAGAGGTTGTGAGGTCTGTTGGAAACTAGGCAAGCGAGGTTTATATATCTGTGGAATGTCCAAGGTGGGAGAAAGAACTCTTGTCTGCTTGAGGCAAGTGTGAATGTTGCAATTGGCCACCTTTAATGACCTTTCAGCTTCAAAGCCTGGCTGATTCCTGCCTGGGGGAATCCTTTGTTGGGAGGTGTTGGCTTGCTCTGATTGTTTCTTGTCTGGAATTCCCCTGTTTTTTGAGTGTTGCTCTTTATTTACTCTCCTGATTTTAGAGGTTGTTTTAAATATTGGTAGCCAGGTTTTGTTCATTTTCATGGTTTCCTCCTTTATGTTGAAACTGTCCACATGCTTGTGGATTTCAATGGCATGGTGGTTGCTAGAGTGGTCCAGCATTTCTGTGTTCTCAAATAATATGCTGTGTCCAGGTTGGTTCATCGGGTGCTCTGCTATGGCTGACTTCTCTGGTTGAAGTAGTGCCTTTCATGTTCCTTGATTCATGTTTGCGCAATGCTGCTGCATTTGGTGGTCCCTGTGTAGATTTGTCCACAGCTGCATGGTATATGGTGGACTCCTGCAGAGGTGAGTGGATTTTCCACTACCTGTTGTGGATCATGCCGCCTTACAAATAGTGTCAAGCAATGCTGGGAACTTCATTTCAATAATATCACGATCCTCATTTCTGCCATCTACAAACAAATTCAGCATGTATTGTCGAAGGCTTTCATGGCCGGAATCACTGGGCTGTTGTAGGTTTTTCCGGGCTATATGGCCATGTTCTGGAGGCAATTTTTTCTCCTGACGTTTCGCCTGCATCTATGACAAGCATCCTCAGAGGTAGTGAGGTATTTAATGTTTGTTTATTTAAAATATTTATATCAAGTCTATTTTGCTTTTAAACCCTGAGGATAACTCACTATAACCAAAGCACTTAGGGGCCAGTGTGGTGTAATGGTTTGAGCGTTAGACTATGACTCTGGAGGCCAGAGGCGCATCTACATTGTAGAAATCCTGTAATGTAGTTTGACATCACTGTAATTGTCTTGACTCAATACTATGGAAACCTGGGAGTTGTAGTTTGGTGAGGCACCAGCATTATTTGCACTCTACGTGGGGTTGCTTTTGAAGATTATTCGGAAACTTCAACTAGTCCAACGGTCAGTGGCCAGATTACTCACTAGAACAATTTTCCCCGGAATTTTCCCTGGAATTTCAGTTTCCCTGGATGTTCCTTTTTCCCTGGATGGTTTTGAGAAAAGAAGCTTTTCTATGGGACGAGCTGGTCTACGTCCTATAGTTTAGCTTCCTTGTGTGAGACTGCCCCAAAAATGGCTCCTTTCCCTCCCAGAGCCCTGAACAAGGGGCGGAACCAAAGCTTAATTATGATGGACAGGTGGCCTGTCCTATGACTGCAAACAGATAACAGAAAGAAAATAAAGTTGGAGTTCCTGGTACAGCCGTACCAGCACAGGTATCCTTCCAATATTAATAAAGTAAAATAACAAATGTAATAATAATAATAATAATAATAATAATAGAGTAAAATAATGTAAATGTAATAATAGAGTAAAATCATAAATGTAATAATAATAACAACAGAATAAAATAATAACCTTGCCTCAAGTATAAGATGAGGGAGTCTTTTTTCAGCCTAAAAAGGCTTATACTTGAGTGTATATGGTATGTTGCCCTGGCATTGAAAGCCTTGCATGCCACATTAAATTATGTGGTAGGCTGTATCCGGCCCTTGGGCCTTGCGTTTTGACATATGTGGTTTATCTTAACAAGAGGTTGTCAATATATTTCTTACCTAGGAAGGAAGTACGTTGCCTTCCCTTTCGGTGGTCAGTCTGTTGCTCTGTTTTAGGAATGATGTATGACCAGCCCGGAGCCATGCCAAGTGAGACCAATGTTTCAGAGAACAGTCAGTGGACACTAAAAAAATGTGAAGCAGAAATAGCACAATCAAGTTATCTCAGGACTTGTCTAAACAGGCAAAACAAATAAATTAAAATTGATACTTGTTTCCACACACTCTAATTCATTGCATTTCACCTTGACCCTTTTACCCTGTAATTTTATGAAAAATCTGGATTATGGTTGCCCTTCTTTGGACACATTCCAGCTTGTTAATGGTCTTCTGGAATTGCAAAGCCCAGAACTGGACACAA